AACTTGCAAACAAAACCAGTTCTGAAAAGAAGAATCACGAAGATGCCATCTACACTATGCTAAAACATTTTCCGTGATGAATCCTGTTTCAAATTTACAATTAGCATAAAATACTAATAACCAGCCTTGCACAGAAATATAGCAAGCAAGGAATCAGGAATTCCCTCCACTTCAGAGTTACAGGAAATCCAACAAGACAAGGGCAAGGCGGTGATGGTAGTTGATTCAAATGAAGAAGAAGATGATGACGAAGAAGAGGGGACTCCGTTAATGTGGCAATTTCTGGACAGAGCAAGATGACAAAGAAATCTTAGGCGCTGAATGGTTTTCAAAAGCAACTATAAAAAGGTTCCTGCATGTTGTTTGTTCACCAGATTCAATAAATGTCATAAATACTATCATGGATGAGATGTCTCAATTGAAGGATTCAAAAAAAAAGTTCCATGTTTCTTTATATGGGAAGGACTGTCAGGATCATCTTGGAAGCGGTGAAAGAGATGGTAGCCGCAGCTGGAATGGTGAAGCGCCAACTTCCATAGCTGAAGTTAGCACTGTGTCATCCGATGCTTCAAAGAATGAAGTGTTACGAGCAACGGATCTAAGACTCACAGCTTTGAGCAACAAGTTAGCTGAAACATTTAACAAGGTTTCAGATACTAAATTCTCTCCTAAATATATGACACATTTATTGAAGTTCTCCCATCGTTTTGGTGCCACTAATTTAGAGCATTCTTTGTGCAAGTTTATAGAACTGAATCAAATAAGCCAGGATGTTGGTCATCTGAACAACGAAACTACCATGCTCACGTGTGATGTAACTCATGTGCTGCATAATGATATAAGCAAGGAATTTAAAAGAACTGCAAATATCTAAACCTTCAACTTCAGATGCACCAATTAAGTATGGTGTTTCACCAGCTAAAGTTGCTCAAGTTGAGAGAGACAGTTCAACAGGAAGTGAGGAATCTTCCAACTCTAGCGACGAGGACCAAATATCTGCTGAGAGAAGTTGTTCCCTACAAAGATCTGTAACACCCAGAAGGTCAGCATCTCCAATGCGAAGGGTACAAATAGGAAAGGCTGGGCCCCGCAGAGCAGCTGCATTAACTATTGAGAATCTCATTTTTTTCTGCTAAATCTTATATAGATGCTGCTGAAAATGGTTTTGAAGGGGAAGTATTAGAACAACCTTTTAAGAAGCCAGAAATGGATGTAAGGAGGATAATTGGGCAAGATGCCATCAGTCTTGTTGAAAATAAACAGAGGGATCAATCTGAAGATGTTCAAAAGAAGAAGTCATTAACAGATGTGTCTCTTAGTACAAATAAATCTGTCTTGAGAAGATGGAGCTCAGGTATGGGGGAAACCTTTGTTCAAGGCCTGCAAGATTCTATTCCCCAAGATCCTGTTCCATTGACTTCAAACGATGCGATATGTGATGAGATTCCTAAGAATTCTGAAATAGAAGTGGTTTCTAATTTTATTTCTGAAAGTTACGATACCCCTGACTCTGATGTAAAACCAGAAAAACAATGGCCCTGCATTACCAGTTCAGCCTTGTATTAAATTAATAAAACCAAGCTAGAAAAACCACTTGTTCAAGAAGATAGCCTTGCAAACTGTCATAACAGAAAAACCAAAACAGAATTGCTAACAGTTCTAACCAACTCTAACAGTGTAACCAACTTCTAACCAACTTCTCAAACTCAACCCACTATTTAATCAAGTTTTCATTCAAAAATCAGGAAAGAATTCATTTAACAAACTAAAACAGAATTTCTAACAACTTGCAACTAACTCTAACAACCTCTAACCAACTTCTTAACTAAGTTTGTAACAGAAAACGCTAACTGATTTTTTTTGCTAATCCTTAACAAGCTATAAAAAGAGTCTCATACCAGATTATTAGGGATTCGGAAAATTTGTTGAAAGATGACTAGAAAAATCTCAGAGCTTCAAACTTTCTTCAACCCTCCATCAACCTTCATCAACTTCTGAACCAAGCTCCTCATTACGCTTCCTCAATCTTCTTTCATCTTCATCTCTTCAAGCCGTCTCGCAATTCCAGAATCGTCTTCAAGAATATGAAATCCACAACACGAATTCACTGGAAGCCAAGATTCAAAGAAGATTTTAGAGCAAAAGAGCCAAGAAAGAAAACGAAAGGAAGAAGATGAATACCTAAATCTGAGCATTTTCCGGAGTCTCCAATCATCGCCAGCATCGAGATAGGTGAGGTATCACTCTTCCTCTTTCTTTTTTGCAAATTCTTCATACCGGTTTGTAGAGGACGATGAGTAGATCCAAAACCCCATGGAATCGAGCTTAGAAAGTCAATCTTGAAGGTTTAATTAAGAGTTATATGAAGCCTATGGGTTTGGATTTGTTCCATTAGATTCAAGATAAACGAGAGACAGGGAAAAGAGAGACCGGAGGAGGTCTTGTGTAGGAAATTGAGGGATGGGAAGCTGAGACGGAGGCGCGTCGCTGATGCTGCGACGGTTGTTTTGGGAAGAGAGTGTCGTTTGCACGAGAGAGAAGAAGAATGTGTTATCGAGGAATCCAATAGTCCTTCTCTTGACCTAACACAAAACTGCAACGTTTTACATTTTTTCTTTTAACTCATTTGTTTTTTTTTCTTCTTTTCTCATTGATTAATAAATCAAATAAAAGTATGATAAATACTGAACATTGAAAGGAGAATTGAAATCTGGATCATGTGTTATTGAGGGATTAGACTGGATCCGTTAGACTTGCTACAACACCTCATGTATTCATGTCTGCACCCCATTGGGCCTCTTTTTACTTTTTGTGATTTCTTTTAAAAAAAATTGTGAATTGTTTATGTTTTTGGACCCTTTTTTTTCACATGATAAAAATAATAAAAATCAGTAAAAAAATTTAGATTCTTCTTATTTTGATTTTTAGGAATTAATTCGTGGTTATCCGATTATTCAAAATTCATGATTCACCTTTGCTTGTTGAGATTTAAATCTTATGCAGGTTTATTATGCGATATGCGGATACGCTTAAGACTTTGACTGTGATTTATTTTCACATCAATTATGTTTCAACACTTATTCCGAGCATTGGATTTCTAACTCTTTTCTTTGTTGACGCTAGCAGCTCGCGAGATTATCGGGTTTCTTTGCTTTTGGCTTTACTCTACGGGCTAGTACTCGTTTGGTATATTTTCTTTCTACTTTCACCCGTATTTATCTCTTCCCATAGATTGTGTGAAGTATGATAATATTAGGTATAGAAATAGTCTAGTCTCCCCTTGATTCTTCTTTCTTTCGCATATGCATTTAAAAGCTAAAAAATATTTTCCTTACAAACTTCAAAATACTTTAAAAAAATTACTGACGAGAATCATATCTTTGTTAAGTTTGGGAGATAATAAGCGGGTTTCTTCTCGACCTTATTATTCTCTTATTCGAAGCTTTGGTGTGGTTCAAGTCTCAAAGACTCATTTCACAAATAAGTAGAGAAATGGCTAAAATCTCTCTCTTGAGATTAAATAGCTATTATCCACAAGCAAAAACACCAACCAATACAAACTTTTTTTTTGCCTTCGGGCCTTTCTTTCAAACAAATTTCAAAAGAGCGTGTTAATTCACTTCTGTGCTGACGCGTAAGTCTCCAAAGGTCGAGTTGCGGCAGAAGGAGAAGTTAATATCATTCATTTAAAACACAAACCAATTCAAACCTTTTTGTGCGCCCAGGCACATTTTCTCCAAACTTTTTCAGAAAGAATATGTTAATTCACTTTTGTACTGACGCGTAAGTCTCCAAAGGCCGAGTTGCGGAAGAAGGAGAAATTAATACTATTCTCTTTTTCCTTAAAAGGGATACGTAGGCATCGGGGTAGGGCCCGAACGAGCACAACTTTTCTTTTCTCTACATTCTTTTCTCTTTTTTTTTTCATGCATTCTCCCTTCAGTAACAGTAATAAACAGTAAGCATAGATTAGACACACACATAAGATAGATAACAAGAGTGGATACCATAGAGTACTACGGGCGTGTGGGGTGCTAATACCTTCCCCTCGCGTAACAGACTCCCTTACCCTTATCTCTCGGTTGCAAGACCGTGACTTCTCCCTTCTCAGGTTTTCTCAATGTTTACATTTCCCTTCTTGTGGGATAAAAGACATTTGATGGCGACTTTATTGTTTAATGATTTTCAGCCAGTTGTTTCACATATTTCTTGACAAAAGTGTTCATATCATAGAAAATGCATTACTTAAAAACATGATTTTACCTTATTCAAATCTATATTGGATTTTTGGACCCAATCAGTAGTATCATTGCCACTCCCTAAGATAGGACCAGTTGTGGTTAGATCATTCTTTTCAATTACTTTACCAACTTCACTCAATTTGTAACACCACATCCTGAAGATACCCTATAAAACAAAACAACATTATTTTGAAATGTATTCTTCTATCCAATTTATTACATATATTAAAGCTTTCACGAGGCCCTAAAGTAGCCCCCAACCCTCCCTTTTTGAACGAGATCGTTACGCCAAATTTCGTTACAGTAGCAAACTTCATCCCTGAATTGTAACAAAAAAAATGTTGGATGGATTTCATACATGTTTTTCAGCATGAGCTTTATGGACATCATTTGCAATAATTAATATGAAAATATAATCCTAAGAGCATCTCCAATGGTGCAACTGAATTTTGGGTTCTTTGCGGGACCCATTAAGCCACGTCAGCTTGAAGCAACCCAACTAATTTTTCACTCTAATAGTGCAACTCTAAAGAACTCATAATGGGTCCCACAACTTTACTTTATATATTAATATTTTATTCATATTAAATTCTATATCATTTAAAATAATAATTTTAATTATTTAAATTAAAATTTATATAAAATAAATAAAATTCAAATTAAACTTATAATTTAAAATGATAATTAAAATTAATTTCAAATACATTACATATAATTAAAAACAATAAAAATAAATAACATCACATAAATTAATCAAACTTAAATTTCATCATTTTCATGTCCAAAACGTTCCCAAATATACTCGACTAGATCTCCTTGAAGTTGACGATGAACTTGTTTTTCACGAATATTTGCTCTTCTTTGTAGTCTTGTTGCAAGATTCGGATGAGGACCGCTAAATGTTTCAGTTGTTGAGTGATTGTTATCCACATTATCATAAGAGTAATCAAAATTACCTCCATATGTATGTCGTTCATCTTCAACAATCATGTTGTGCAATATGATGCACGCATATATGGTATGTTTGAGGGTGTCCATGTGCCAGGCACGCGTTGGACCACGTATAATTGCAAATCGAGATTGAAGCACTCCAAATGCCCTCTCCACATCTTTTCTAGCTGATTCTTGATGTTGAGCAAATAATTTTTTTCTTCTCTCCTTGTGGCATTGAAATGGTCTTCACAAATGTAGCCCACTCAGGATATATACCATCGGCTAAATAATACCCCATATTATATGGTGTTCCATTGATTGTATATTGCACATTGGGAGCATGTCCTTCCAAAATATCGTTAAACACGTTGGATTGGTTTAACACATTAATGTCATTGTTTGAACCAGCAATACCAAAAAAAGCATGCCAAATCCATAAGTCATGTGATGCCACTGCTTCAAGCATGATTGTGGGCTTTCCATGATCACCTCGACAAAATTGTCCTTTCCATGCAACAGGACAATTTTTCCACTCCCAATGCATACAATCAATGGAACCCAACATACCTGGAAAGCCACGTGACTCTCCCATTTGTAAAAGATGTTCAACATCAGTGTTGTTAGGCTTTCTCAAATACTCAGCCCCAAATATAGCATTCACTCCCCGAACGAATCTTTGTAAGCACTCAATTGAAGTGCTTTCACCTATTCGAACATATTCGTCTACAACGTCAGCAGGAGACCCATACGCCAACATACGAATAGCAGATGTACATTTCTGCAATGGTGAAAGACCCATTTTACCAGTTGCATCAACCCTCATTTGGAAATATTCATCATGATTTCCAAGGGCATCTACAATTCGAAGAAATACATGCCTATGCATTCTGAACCTTCTTCGGAATTGAACATCTGTGTATACTGGGTTTTCCGAGAAGTAGTCATTGAATAATCGATTGTGCCCTTCTTCACGACTACGATCTACCATTATTCTTCTCTTTGGCATAGATGAACTTCCATATTGACGTTCATTTTCAAGCAATTGTTCTTCATCACTATCATCGATAAATTCTTCTTCAATCAACTCCCAAAATTCTTGGTCGAAATCATCTGAATTGTCTGAATCCATTTTAGTGAATTAAGAGTGATAGAAAAATGAGAGAAGAATTAGAGAAGTATGATAGAAGAATAAGATGAGAATGGGAAAACAATGACATAAGTGATAGTATATATAATGGTTTGAATAACGGCTAGTTTGAATAACGGCTAGTTTGAATAACGGCTAGTTTGAATAAAGGATAGTTTGAATAACGGCTAGTTTGAATAATGGCTAGTTTGAATAAAGGATAGTTTGAATAACGGCTAGTTTGAATAAAGGATAGTTTGAATAACGGCTAGTTTGAATAACGGCTAGTTTGAATAACATAATATTTATTATAATTTAAAGTGGTACTAATGACCATTTTACATAGGTGTTGATAATTTAAAGTGGTACTAATGACCATTTTACATAGGTGTTGATAAATTAAAGTGGTACTAATGACCATTTTACATAGGTGTTGATAATTTAAAGTGGTACTAATGTCCATTTTACATAAGTGATACTAACTACAATCCATATTTTTTTTCATCTTATTACAATATTTTTCATGAATATCTCGTTGACTATCACTCATAGTAGAAGTGTCTTTCATGATGATTTGCATTGCCTTTAATTCTAGCTCGTCCTCCTTACTTTGAGCTAGTCTTTCCATTGTTGTTGCTCTTTTATTCCTTGCATCTTGTGTTGCATTTGGAATTTCCTTTGCCTTACCCTTCCTTTTTGCTGCTTTTTGTCCCATTGGACGCTCCATTGGTGATGATGAGTTAAACTCGTAACTTGAAGGTGTATCTGAGTTAGCCGATGATGCCCCACTAGCAGAAGTCTTTGTTACTTTTGAAGAATTTCCAATCGATTCTCCCATCCATTTAGGTTCATCTTTTAACAATCGCCATGCGTACTCAAGATTGAATGTTGTACCTTCATCCTGAGCAAAAAAAGCATGTGCAGAGGCCATGATATCGTTATTTGATGTCCCACTTTTCTTTCCATTAACAGCTTGTTTGTAACACCCAACAAATTTTTGAACCAAACCATTTATTCTATGTCATCGGCATTTTAATTGCCCCCCTAACTTTTCCCGCGATTGCCCACGATACTGGTTATAATTGGCAGCTATTCTTAACCAAAAACTCTCAGCCTTTTGAACAACTCCCACAATTGGATCCTTTGAAACATTGAGCCATGATTGGATAAGAAGTATATCCTCATCCCTTGTAAATTGCTCTCGAGATTTTTTTTTAACGACTTGAGTACCAACTTGAGTAGAAAATGGTGGAACTTGGGTAGAAAATTCCATACTATTAGAATTCATTTGAGGTATATGATACATATTTGGATTGTTTGGTGATGGAAAAAATATGGCGGGGTTTGTTGGCATCGATGGAATTTGAGAATTTTGAGGATTATGATTTTGATAATTTTGCATGAAATTGAACATAGCTTGTTGATAATGAAATTGATTAGGATCCATTTGTCCTAATGAGAATAAATAGTTGGAAAAAAAATTTTAAGTTGAAGAGTAAAATAATAAAATTGTGAGAGAGGAATTTGAAATTTAAGAGAAAGTAGAAGTAAAAAAAATGTTGTGTTGGTAAAATAATTTGAAACTTATATTTATAAACAAAAAAATAAGTTAAAAAAATTAAATAAAAAAAAAGTAACTAGCCAACGGCTAGTTTTAATTTTTTAATATAAAAAGTTAAAAACTAACTGTTGCTTGCTATGTGTACGTTTTCCAGCTGGAGAACTTTAATGGAAAGAAAAAACACACGCTCTGTTGGGCAGCTGGTGAACCAATAGAAAAAATAGGCCGCTGGAGGTGCTCTAATATAAGATGATAGAAAGATAGTAATCACCTTATTTTTTCACATGAGCCCACAGGCATTGCATAGAGATCTTGGACCAGCCGGTCCTCGACCAATTACCGGAGTAGACTTCTTACCAATTCCACAATGCTAACATCTACGCTCGCTCGAAAAATGGCAGGGATGAAACATAACAATAGTAAAAAGCTCAAAACTATACATGATTTATTTCAAGATGCTAAAAAGTATACCTTTCCATAAGCCTTTTCAAAAGATCTAACCATCTCCAAAATGATGTTGTTGTTCTAGTCCATAACTGATAAACCTCACAACATGTATACAAACACAAATGATAGAATGATCAGATTGTTCACAAGTAGATTTCAAAGAAATATTCAGGCCAATTGATATTGGTTCGGTCATAAAACTGCAACATCACAAGCTAAACCAAATACTATTTAGATTTCAAGTAACAAAGTATGTCTGTAGAAGATTTGGAATCAAAACCAATGATCAAAGCACGTGAATGGTTAATAACAAATCCTAAAAGTTTAAAACCTACACATGAGATAATCACAAAAGAAGTTTGACCCTCATGAGATAGGAAATTATGGAGAATAAACATTATTTGCATATGTAGGAGCCAACTTTTGATATACTTCTTCCTCAACCAGATTAGAACTACCTTGAAAGGTTTGCTCCTTCCATTTCATTATCAAAAACATCCCTGTTTATAAGTGTTGTGATTGTATTTATGTGTGTCGAATATGATCACACATGTTAAATATTTATATGTAAAATACGTATACACAATAAGTAATAACATAATTTTCACTTATGACTAATTGAATACAAATCAATACTAATTGATTTGTAACTGATTCTTAACACTCCCCCTCAAGTCGGATCGTATATATTATATGATCTGAGCTTTTTAGAGTTATATTTCACTCAAGAAACCTTAAGAGACTCGGTAAACATATCAACTAATTGATCTTTAGATTTGACGAACTCGGTGGTTATTTCTCCTGACGGTACTTTTTCCCTTACGTAGTGACAATCTATTTCTATGTGCTTGGCCCGTTCATGGAATACCAAATTGGATGCAATTTGAAGTGCCACTTGATTGTCGCATACGAGTCTTGTGTCTTGAAGGTCTCCCAACCTAAGTTCTGAGAGTAAATTCTTAAGCCATGCAAGTTCTTTTAATGATGCTGCCATAACATGATATTCAGCATCAGAACTAGCTAATGCAACTATGATTTTTTTCTTGCTCCTCCATGAGATCATATTTCCTAAAACAAGAACACAATATCCGGAAGTGGATCTTCTATCCGACAGTGTTCCTGCCAAATCTGCATCTAAATAACACGTGACTTTAGCATCACCCTTATCTTCATACAATAGGCTTCTTCTTGGTGCATTCTTAATATATCTAAGAATCTGAATAACTGCATTCCAATGAGTATCACAAGGAGCATTCAGAAATTAACTCACAATACTCACTGCAAAAGTAATATCTGATCTAGTGATGGTAAGATAATTGATTCTATCCATTAGACATCAATATCTTCCCGGGTCTTTCAACAACTCCCCCTGACTCAGAAGAAGCTTGACATTTGGATCTATAGGAGTATCAATCGAACGACAATCAAGCATACCAGTTTCATTGAGGATGCCTAATGCATACTTATGTTGGTTAATTGCAATGCCTGATGAGGTATGAGCAACTTCAATACTCAAGAAGTATCTGAGTGGACCAAGTCTTTTGTCTGAAAATTATTGAAATAATGAGTTTTGAGTTGTTGGATACCATTTGTATCAACTCCAGTGATAACAATGTCATCAACATAAACCACAAGAAGATGCGTTGACCAGTGGTGGAATGAAGAAAGAAAACCGAGTTATCTGATTCATATCTAGTCATACCAAATTGTATCAAGGCAAAGCTGAAGCGGCCAAACCAAGCACGTAGAGACTGTTTTAGCCCATAAAGAGACCGACAAAGCCAACATACAAGTCTAGAATTTCCAGGAACGGTAAAACCTTGAGGTTGGTCCATATAGACTTCCTCCTCCAATTCTCAATGTAAAAAGGAGTTTTTAATGTCTAATTCATGAAGCGACCAATGATTAATAACAGCCATTGCAAGGAAGAGACGGACTGAACTAATATTGGCCATTGGAGAAAAAGTGTCACCATAATCAAGGCCAAATATCTGTGTATATCCTTTATCTACCAAACAAGCTTTGAAATGATCTATTTGACCATCTAGTCCAACCTTCACTGTATAAACCCATATACATCCTACAATAGTTTTATTGGAAGGTAAAGTAACAATATCTCAACTATTATTTGAATGCAATTCACTCATTTCTTCCACCATCGCCTGATGCCAATTTGGATCAATCATAACCTTACCTGTAGACTTAGGAATGGACATAGAATCCAAAATAGACACTAAAGACACATAGGAAGTAGAAAGACGATTATAATTTAAAACACAATCATATTTAGGATTTGGTGTATGAGATCGAATACCTTTTTGTAATGCTATTGGGAGGTCATGTTTAGGTGACGTAGCTGGAGGAATAGTTGGAGTAGGAGATGGTGCTACTAGATTAATATCATCTCTAACTTCTGATGGACGGGGTGTCCATTGCTGGTAGACCTACAATTGAGGTTTAATGGGTGTAGGGATGACTGAAGGGACATCTTGAGCATCTAAGTTACAAGTCTCATCGGGTGACACAAAATCATAGAAAAATGGGGAACCTTAAAAATATGTAACATCGGGGGAAACAATATACCATTGAAGTTGAGGACAGAAACAACGATATCTTTTTTGTATATGTGAGTAGCCTAGAAAAATACATTTTAGATATTTTGCAGAGAGTTTGTCTTTACATGGACTAAGATCATGAATAAAGCTTATGCAACCAAAGACGCGAAGCTGAATGGGGTAGAGGTCATGTTGTGGATTCAAGATAGAGTGTGGAATATGATTTTGAAGGGCCGATGAAGGAATTATTCGGTTGATAAGGTGACAGGTTGTAAGGAGAGCATCACCCCAAAAATGAAAGGTACATTGTGGTAAAGTAAAATAGTTCGTGCGGTTTCAACTAAATGACAATTCTTTCGTTCAACAACACTGTTCTGTTATGGTGTATGAGCACATGATGATTGGTGAATAATTCCCCGTGATGTTAAAAAATATTGAAACTGGGATGACATATATTCACGCGCATTATCAGTGCGTAAAATTTTAATGGACGTGTTAATTTGGTTTTTAATTTCAGCATAAAACTCCTGGAATATATGGAAAACATTTAAACGATTTTTCATTAGAAATAACCAAGTACATCGTGAAAAATCATCGATGAAAGTTACAAAATCATAATATCCTAAGGTAGACTTCACACGACTAGGACCCCAAATATCATAATGAACTAAACAGCGATTTGCGAACCTAACCCATTGCCTCAGACTTCATGCAGCAATGTATTTCTTATTCTGCGACACAGATCATCGCCTCAGGCTTCACGCAGCAATGTCTGAAGACCAAATCTAGCTTCACGCAGCGATTTGCAAAACTCTAATCCATTGCATCATACTTCATGCAGCAATACGTTTCCTTATCCCATAAACACTGATCATCGCCTCAGACTTCATGATGCGATGCTCAAAAGAAAACAAAAACTTTAACCCATGGCCTCAGTCTTCAAGCAGCCACACATCATCATTTATTGTTGTATTCATCCTCCAAATGGGGAATGATCAAAACCAAACCAAGATATACAAAATTGTGCTCTCAAGCTCAAAACCATTTGCCTTGTTATCAAACTCTGGTAAGCGATACATCATCAGCTTTTCCTACTTCCTTGAGACTCATAAGGGTGTGTTATATCAGCATAACCTTATGATGGAACAGACAAATTTTGGGTATTCCAGGTATTCAATAAACTTCCAATTAGAATGCGACATACCCGTGTTTTCTCGCGCTATTCGATTGGCAGATAATTGAAAGGGGCAGCTGTCGTACCCCAAATTTGTCCTACCTCTATGATCATGTTTTTCAAGAATAAAGATAGAAGAGAAACATTTAATTAGGGATCAGAAAGACTCATAGGCTTATTCGCGAAGCATGTTGGTCAATGGCCCATGTGATTCGTAAATGAAAATTATTCAAATAACTGTTAAGTTATTAATAATTAAATAGTTGTTATTAGTAAAAGAGGGGTTGAAATTAACTAAGCCCACTTAAATATTTTTGTTAGTAAAAAGAAAGGAGGTATACAAGCCCATTTTATTTAGGCCCATTTCCATTTTTTCGTTGTTGATAACAAAGAGGGGATATATTATCAATTTTACGGGCCCACTGAGTATTTGGCCCAATGGACGTTGTTACTGTTTTATTTGTAAAGATAAAGAAAATTGCCATAATTAAAATCCCTTTTATAATTATTATTTATCATTAAGTGATTTTTGAAACATGTTATTAGATTTTTTTTAAAAGAATCTCTTGAGAAAGAAGATTTGTGGATTAAATATTGATGTTAGTCTGGCCCAGTTTGTATTTAAAAAATGCATGTTGGATATAGTAAAACAAAAATAACAAGTTAAGGCCTAATTTCATAGAATTAGAGCAGGTCCAGTTTTCTGAATA